AAATAAAATTCGCAAAAGAATTAATAAAATAAAACAACATTTAAACAAAATATTTTTTTGAGAATCTTGGACCCACACTTTTAACTGAAGGCTCCCAGAAAGACGCATATAGCAATGCAAAACGGACTTAAAGTCAAAGTTTCCTGACGGTTTGCGGTTGTTGCGGGAGGAGAGAAGAAGTGTTTTGCTTCTTTTTGTCAGTTTCGCAAAAACCGCAGACCCCAAACAACGCAGACAATGCAAGACCTATCAAAGATATTCAAAGATATTACTTCAAGAATCATTTCTAACAAAAATGTCTGCCAAGACTTTACTTTGAATCCACTCAGTTATCAATGTATTCACGTAGTTTACTTTTAGTTTATAAGGCTGATGTGATATATGACCGTTTACTCAGGGTATATTGAATTTGGATTTTCATAAGCAAAAGTAAAGAATGATAGTATATTGTTTGCACAACTTGAAGTATTACTCGATGACTCGTACGAAAATAGTAGATTTGACGATAAAATTTAATAGATGGCCATATTGCGCCTTATGAGCCAAACTCAGCAATATAAATATATATAGGTGGTCGTACGATGACGTAATTTGTTTTGATCAAGAACATGAAGTTCTTGGAAATTCAAGCAATAAACAAATAAATGTCAAAAGTGGCAATATCCTATCGCTTTGAAAGATATCTGAGAATTTGAGGACAAATCTCTTGATGGTTTTCAAGTTAACATTGTGAAATTTGACAGTAAATGTATGTTGGTTGGTAAATGTTGCCAACCAACATGCATTTACTGCAAAATTTAGCAACTTTAATTTATATATCTTCTGAACTAATGAAGCAACTGCTCTCAAATTGATACATATTATCAACAGTTATGACTTCTTTATATTTCTTAAGTCCAATCGTTTATGGCTCAAAAGTTGATTTTTTGAAATGTAAACAGTACTCTCGCCTATACATTGCTTAGTTAATAATAATAAATACAGTTCTAGCCGAGCATTACACTGTCTCGATTCCTAAAATTAGCGACTACAAAATATCTATATAAATCCTATGTAAGAATAATCGACGACCTTTTTGCGCCTTCTGAGTCCAAATAAATAAAATAGAATAAAATATATTATATATTGCCTATAAAATAATAATATAATTCTAGAGAATCAGAATCATGTCTCGATGCCCTTGAATTAACAACTAAAAAATATATGTATAAATCGCATATGACAAATAATAATTATTATTATCATTATTATAGCAAGCAATGGAGTGGTTGATTCTATAAACTATTGCTATGACAAACAGGAAAATATTTCTAAAACGTTTCTTTATCAACCAAGATTTTTTTATGCACTAGCTAATATACTATTGATACTCATTTTATGCGTGTATTAAATATACCATCATATTTCATTCATGTTAAAAAGGCCTGTAAGCTCGTCGTGTTTTGACCCATAAATCTCGATTATATTACTTGGAAACGAAAGAATATTTATCTGCCAGCTCAACTGTAATAAAAGCTATTGTCAGTTTATTAATAATCAAACTTTTTTACGATATTTTATTAATACATTTTTTACGAAACATTAAAAAAAAAAAAAATCAAACTTGTTGTGTAGGTTGTGACGTATGTAACGAAAAGCATGATGGGGAATGTCCAATGCATGGTCCGCTGCATTCTCTCCGGAAGATGGTTACAACAGGGCACTCTAACGGCCATCTGGATAATGGAACTCTCTTGAAATTCCCCGATGAAGTGTGTTTATGTACGTCTAGTATTCCGTTTGTACAGTATGGTGTTTGTGCGAGGAAAAGGATCCTGGCTGGAACATGGATCGGTCCATATGAGGGCAAACTTGTGCGACCAGAGGATGTAAGCAAGAATACAGACACCCAATACATGTGGGAGGTATGTCTCTTAAAGCTTATATCAAAATACACCTCCTTACCTTAGGCGTACTGTTTTCCAATTTCAAACCAAGTGTTATTCCCTAGATTATAATTTCTTTGTTTAACAGTTGCGCACTAGAAGACACRTGAACATCGATACAACTCAAACATAGAATCTTATTCTCTAGAGAATGACACACGGTCTGAAATGGGAAAACATTGCGCCCAAGGTAAAGAGGTCTATTTAAAAGAATATACGAAGTTTAATTTTTCTTATGGTAATTTCTGTCGTGAAAGTGAGGAAAATGGACCATAGGTGTAGCACCGAGTAACTAGTGCAATTACACAGTCAATAGTTTGCTACATTGATATAATTAAACGAGATAGCTATATGGCAGTGCGTCCTATGGAACTTACAAGATGCTACTCCATAATTGACCAGCTAGATGTTTCTATTGTATTTGCTGTAAGAAATAGAGACTTATTACCATCACGTGATAGCAGCCATGACAAGAGGCAGAAACATCTGGTCTAATCTAATTTACAAGCCTCTATTAACCTTGTCATAAATGGAAATTTGAATCCTCTTTAATCATATTTTATAGGTATTCCACGATGGTCAAGTCAGTCATTATCTCGACGGTAGAGAAGAAGCCAATTCAAGCTGGATGCGCTTCGTCCGCTGCGCACGCCACAAAAAAGAACAAAACATGGTAGTATTCCAATACCACGGATGCGTGTATTATCGAACCATCCGTGACATCATGCCAGGACAAGAACTACTTGTTTGGTACGATGGGAGGTATTCACAGTTCATGGGTGTTCCTGTGGCTTTGACTGACTCCAGTAATAGAGGTACAAACACTAATAAGTACATGTCATTTACGAGCTGTACGTTCCTTTCCTCTTCCAAAGGGATTGTATATGTTTTCATTGTTTCTAATTTTCTGGAGCTCAGGATTAGTCTGTACTCGAGCAGTTTTTTTATGATTACGAAAAAGGCTTTTCCATGCTTACAATATGCCGGAGGGTCTCATTCGTGCCCCTCCATTCGGCCCCAAAGTTCCAAATGCATAGAGTTTGGTAACTTCTTTTGCTTTTGGCATTCCAAAGAGGAACGTACAAATGTAAACTACTCAGATTTTTCCTATTGTCCTTTTTTTCTGATATTTTCTGATAAACTCGTTGAAAATAAATAAGATGAATTAATAAGAGCTTAAATGGTTAGTAACAAGTTATTTGCCCTGTATATCAATTCCATTTAGAAAGCCTTCATTATTCAATGATTTTTTTTTCTCTTTAAAAACAGGAGTACAACCACCTAGAGATCTAGTAGCACAAAGAACTCGTGACCGGGACTGCCAATCCGAACCAGCCCCAAAGCGACAAGCAACGGAACATACGCACGCGCAACGTGGTCGACCACCATTACGAAGAACGGTGGCAGTAACAAACGAACATTCTAAAACAGAAAACAGAAATGAAATAGCTAAAATGGACGAGAAAAGGGAGGATAAAAGAGGGATAAGCTACCGAGGGCGTGGTCAGTATACAACTAAGGTAGCATCTCGAAATGGTACCCGTAAAGACCAACATGAAGACGAGTTTACATGGAGGTGTAATTTATGTTTTAAGGCGTTCGCAGTACGTGAACAACTGGAGGAGCATCACTGTAACGGTCTTGGGAGTGCCAAGAATCTTATTTGTCCTCACTGTAATCAAAGCTTTTCTCATCCGTTGGAGTTTAGAAATCACGTGGAAAGCCACGCCAATGAAAGACCCTTTCGTTGTGGGTATTGCACTCACGCATTTGCAAATGCTGCTTTGTTGAACCAGCACGTACGGGTGCATATTGCTGACAGCAACATAGCAAAACTTGGAGGACGGAACGTCTCGGAAAGGGTTGTACAAGAATTTAAGTTCTAGCGAAGTATCTACTTCTCTTTTCAAGAACTAATTTTATCATTTTTGCGCAATACTATTAACTAACTATAATGCTATTCCATTAATAAACCGGTGTTAAGTTCTATTCTTTCCGCCGAATACTCATGCGTTTTAGGAGGTACTTAACAATTTCATACCGTAAAATGCGCGATTTTAAAGCTGTTTATATTCTTGCATATTCTAGACAAAGAAATATAAAGGTTTTTAGATAGTAGTATAGCGCACATGAAGTATTTCAGACTTTTTTTGTTCAACTTGCCCTACATGGTGTTGTCTGTATCCAAATTAGACCAGAACCAGTCTTGTTTATCGAGCTCAGAATGCAGCTGTCATCATACATGCGCCAGTAATCAATGAATACAGAAGCAAATATAATTAATTAACTCATTTTGTACATGCATTCCAGGAGTTTAAAACTTCCGCTGCAACACTATTCTTGGCTGCATAATACTTCATAGCCGCCATGTTGGTTGAAGACAATAAAGCATTCCCCATTATTCCCTATTTAGCTTCTCTTGTTAGATAAACCCACATGGCGGCTGTTTCATTGTTATCTATATCTCAAGGGATCTTCGAGTCATATGGCTGCCCCCAAAGAATATCGACGGTTACTAACATACCTCATGTCTGATGAGTTTTCTCAGAAATCTGCTTGAATCGCGGTGTAATATTTAGACCAGGGGCAGATCAAGGGGAGAGGTACAGGGGGAGCGCACCCCTCCCCCCAGATGAGCTGATATCTACTGCATCATTGATATTTGAGTTTGTTAGCAAAGAATGGTGCACCCCCTAGAAAGATTCGGGAACCGCCCCTGTAAATTAGCACTCATTTGAGATAAATTGAGCTATTAAGGTTAAATGGTCTTTGTTTATATGTATATATAAAGATAAAATTGAAATAAATTAAGACACCAATTTTAGAAATTTATGTGGAAGTAAAACATTTTGATTATATTTTATCGCCTTGACTATTTTGCTCCGCATTTTTGAACAATAATTGTTTTAAAGGAAAAAAAGGGTAACAATAACTCTCACATTTTGTTCTGCTTCATAAATGCAATTATATGCATGTAAATATATGCAGTAACAAATGTTAGATTCAATCTATAGAGCAAAATGTATGTATGCTTTATCTGGTCCAGTGAATGCACATTTTTGTTTAAATTTTATGTTCATGCAATAGGCGGGCATGCAAAACGCAAAGCCTTTTAAAATGCAAAACAAAAGATTTTTTATGGCGTTACTTCGCGAACACATTCCAACTTTTAATTATCTTACGTTATGCGAAATATTTGATATTCTCAAGAGGGAGTAAAAATGTACACACGAAATAAATTTATGAAGAATCAGTCGATTTTAGTTATGAAATGCAATACCATGCCTATTCTAGTCGATCATCCTACCATGCGCATCCTGGTCAATCATCCTACCATGTGCATCCTGGTCCATCATCCGACCATGTGCATCCTGGTCTATCATCCTACCATGTGCATCCTGGTCTATCATCCTACCATGTGCATCCTGGTCCATCATCTTACCATGCGCATCCTGGTCAATCATCCTACCATGCGCATCCTGGTCAATCATCCTACCATGTGCATCCTGGCCAATCACCCTACCATGTGCATCCTGGCCAATCACCCTACCATGTGTATCCTGGTCAATCATCCTACCATGTGAATCCTGGTCAATCATCCTATCATGCGCATCCTGGTCAATCACCCTACCATGTGAATCCTGGTCAATCATCCTACCATGTGAATCCTGGTCAATCATTCTACCATGCGCATCCTGGTCAATCATCCTACCATGCACATCCTGGCCAATCATCCTATCATGTGCATCCTGGTCTATCATCCTACCATGTGCATCCTGGTCCATGATCCTACCATGTGCATCCTGGTCAATCATCCTACCATGTGCATCCTGGTCAATCATCCTACCATGCGCATCCTGGTCGATCATCCTATTATTATTATTGCCCAAGAAGATAACAGAAATAAAACAAACACATTTATCCCTTATAACAGGCAAACAAAAAGCTATGAAGAGCAATAATGGAACAGAGAAAACATTTGGATCATCTCTTTGGTTAAGATCTTTAAGACCTCTTTGTAGGATCCATAGCCCAGTAGAAAAGAAAAACTATTAAAATGTCTTATGATCTAACAAAATAGTTGATTAAGATTAACGTGGTAAGTCACTATACCTGTCTCAGATATTCCATTAACTATTCATTTGGCTATTTTAAGTGATAAGTATCCTCGTTAAAAATTTTATTTTATTTCAAAATTTATATCGAGGGTTAAAAAATAAAGTAACTGAATGATGCTCTATATTGTAAGAAAAAGAAAGGCCTTATCTCCAACCAGGAAAACCCTCCAAAAAGAAGAGGACCGCGAAGGAAAAATGTAACGAAAGATTATGATAAAAATAGCCACAAAATGGCTGTAAATATCTTAAATTATATCTTGAATTGTCTTCAGTTGAAAGAGCCATCGATATTCATTTGTGGGAAAGCTATTAATAATTATTATTATAATAACGATACATCGTAGAACGCAGAACAACAGCGCGCGCGAAACCAAGAGAAATAAATCGGAAATTTTTCATTTTTTAACGAAACAATGGCTGCAAAGGATGAAACATGTAGGATGCCTTTTTCACCTCTTTAGTTTTAAAGTTTATATATTATATTTGCAAAACCGTACAAATTTGTAGAAACCAACAATTGGATAACTAATGAGCGCAAGCGCTTGGCAGATGGTTTGCATGGGAGTGGTCCGACTCAATGTACCCAGTTGGATAAAACTTTCATTAGTTAAAATTTTCTGGCGTAGTTCAAAAATGCATTTAGTTAATTGCTTTCTCATGCTTTTATTTTGTAAAGAAAACAACAACAGCTCTTTGGGGGTAAAATCCGAGAGCCAAAAGCATGGGTGAGCTGTAATCGCCTTAGGTAACCTATCAGATTACGAGTTTCCGAAAAAGTCTCTCAATGAATCCTACTACTATTCAAATAATAGCCATTAATGCCTTATACTCATTGAATTCAAAACTGTTATCTATTGAGGCCCTATAAATTTGGTAGAACAAATGGCATCTCACGCGACAGAAGTTTTCATTCTACATCACTACTAATAAGTCATTGTTCAAAGCTAAACAGCATGCCAAGATAGCTTGATATCTTTATACGCTTTGTTGGCTAATCGTGGGAACATTTTGGGGAAGTTCTTTCAATTAACGTCTAAGTATAAAACCAACAAAATTCACTTGGCGATGAATCTTAAAAGTTTAGGACATGAAGGAAATCACTTAATATTGTTTAAATTGTTGTTAATTGTAAATTGAATGATGAGTTTTGATCGTGACTTGCTATAGAGACAGAATTCCAGGCACCAAAGGTGGACAAAGTGATGACGCAAATGCATTATAATCTTGATACAATGACAACATAAAGACCAACCCGTTATCACCTACCCTGTTTTTAACCTGCTTTTGTTTCGACCTCACATGACTGTTTTTGAGCTAATTTGGATTCAAGCTGGGAATAAAAAGGGAGGATGATATTGTTGCAGTAACAAACCTTGTTATCATTCGACGTTTTACAAATGACGCTCTCCTCATGTGGTAAATAGTTAAGTAACGCTCTTGGGAGATACTGTAAAAACAAAATAAGATCAAACTACTTTAGACTATCTATTAAAAAAAAAACTTCAAATGCAGCCTGCAGTTAGTAAATGCAATGCAAGAATAACAATATTTGGAAACCTGCCACAATATATTCTAACTTTTAAAGGCTAACTTACTAACTAAAAATACAACTACATCAAAATGGATCCCGCAGTGAGCAAAAACAATGTGAGAACCATAGTTTTTTAAAAACCTGTCATAACACATTCTAACTGTTTTCAATCTCAATTAGCAGCAAAAACGTCTGTCAATTACAAGTAAGCAGCACAAAGGGAGAGTACCTTTAACGTTATATAATAGCTACAAAGACTGTTTTCGCCCTTCTTTTGGTAGCATCAACGTGTCTAGCCACAGGAAACATTGTGTTGCTTGATCAAAACTAAAAGCTCATGGGTCCTAATAGCGTGGGTTGGCTTCGTAAAGGAAATTTGCGACATTGAAATAGCTTCCTCTTAAAATGTAGCCACTTTCTTGTCCAATCACTACAAATATATCATTAAATGAACAGTACAAATTATCACCCTCTCTCCCTCTTATTCTACTTTATTTTTTGTTTTTATTTTACTTAATATGACTTCGCCCTCGATAGCTATGAGATTAAATTAATTTCATAGTGCAGGTAGCCTATGGGCACCCACGACAATGCAAACACAACTGAGCTTTTATCCGATACGAAATAGTAATTAGTATAGCTGGCAAGAGCATGTTAAAATCAGATCACGAAATGACTCAGTCCTTTTATGCTCCATGGTAAAACTATTAAGTTTGAAGGATGAAATAAGTTCTAAACTCACGAAGATATGATTTTTGGATTTTTGTAAAATTTCAACAACAAAAAACTTTGCCGGAGGCAAGAGATGCCTTCAACGAATGTTTTCATACAAAATTTCCATTTTTCAAAATTCATATCTTTGTGATTATTATTATTATTATACAGCTATTTTAATCATTCGTTTGTCCTGAGTTTTGGAATTACATGGTAAAAGCTTCTATCATTAAAACAATATACTAGTGAATTTGGCTAAAACAGCAGGTTATAGGGCTATCGAGAGTACGCGCAGCGTTAAAATCGGGCTGATGGTGGTTTTCATTGACCAGAAGCTGGTAGAACGTATGTCTCAAGATTTCCCCATTTCTAATTGTATCTTTCAAATGTTTTGATCCAAAATTGTTACAATGATGATAACAACGCTTGCCTGTTTATTGTTAGAACGAAAATAATTTTTCTGTCTACCAAAACTTCTGAAGGGCTCCCGCCACTTTTTATACTCAAAAACTTCACAATGAAAACAAGGAAGTCGAAAACAGTTGATCGCCACACGGTTGCAACGTCTCGTATATAACAATGAGATGATATATCTTTACAACTCAAGCACCTCAAGTACCTTTTGAACATTAGACCGATCGTGATAACTAATGATTTTATAATAAACTCAAATATATTTATATATAAGCAAGAAAATATAAATATCTGTTTTTAAAACCTTGAAGAGGGCTACATCTAAAGCTCTGCCTCTTATTGCCTTGTGTCTATACTAATAATCAAAAGATAGACATGATTTAAACGAAAGTGAATATTCCCCATATTCATTGAGCCTGAGGTGAATAATTGTTTTTAGTATGGTTAGACTTGAATATATTATATTAAAAAAAAAAAAAAAAAAAAGACGAAATTCAGGATAATAAAAAATATTCTATTTGGTATCCTGATTTCAGTTTTGGCAAACTTTATCACCATCGTCTAATAATCACTGGTCACTCGACCAATCACAGCGCGCGAAACTCTATATTTAAGTCTAAAATTATGCTAAACTGCCAGAATTACTCAAATAAAAAACGCACTTCTGAAAGTTCAGTTTTCAGCCAATATGCCAAGTGGTTTTTGTGGTTTGAATGGACTCCGCCTAAAAGCAACATCCGTGACCACCACCTTCAGAATTGACAAAGAATTGCGTGCTAACTGCGCGAGTCAGTATCACAACAAGGTCAGAGCGCGAAATTTAGCACACGTGGTGTTGTATAGGTATCGTAAACAAACCGTCCGTACCTTCAACAAGTAGATCAGATAAGCTCTTTTAATCAAAATTATCTAGCTGTTCCTCAGGAGAAATTGCAAAGTATGATAGGCCTCGAAGGCT